ATAAAATTTCAATAAATCTCCGGCAGAGGGTGAGCTAGTGGGGCATCCAGAGGGCGGGCTACTCGCTCATTGGAGCTGCGTCTGTAGCGGTTACCGCCTACCGCAAAACAGAGACAGCTAGACTACAGTAACCTGGATAGAGTTTACCTCGGATATGGACAGCCCCGCCAACCACCGTAGTCCGTGAGCAAAACTCTGCCACTACCGCTTCTCGATTTCCTTCCGTCGTTTTTTTTTTTTTTTCTTTTTCTCTTTCCTCCTTTTTTTCCTCCTTCCTTCGCTCCCTCCCCCCTTCCCTTCTTCACGACTCGAAGAACACTGTTCCTTCTTCTACTTTCCTTCCTCGTCTTCTTCCTCTTCTTCTCGGACATTCTTTTATCCTTTCTTGCTTCTATTTTCTTCCTTCTGCTTTTCGCCCTGTCAATCTGTGTCTATCGGTTCTCCGGTTCTCGCGTGCCATTTCCCGTAAAGTGCTACCGGAAGTGCGCCGATTTTATTATAGATTCGCTTCACTAACTCGTCGACCGATTTTTTACTTTACAAAAAGAAAAGGACGATTCTACGACGAGAGCGTTGCTTCGACGATGCTATTATTATTCAACTTTCTTGCAATATATATTTTTTTAGGTAACCGATTTATCGAAGAAATTTCTTCTGATCACAATCACATATTTCCAATCCTATCGATACGATAATCATGTGTAGATAATCATTATTATCCCCATCTTCGTCACAAATCCACCCCTTCTCTTCTAAAATTCACTTTTCCAAACATCTTCCTCGTTCCTCGTCGGGAGAAAGAGGGGAAAAAAAAACTCGGTGAATCGAACTCGCTGCTCGTCCAAAGGTATCGTTTCCAGGTTTCCGTTTCAGCTAGCTACGTTCCTGGCGGCGGCGGCGAGTCTGAAGCACGGGAGCGATTTAATATCACGCCCACAAGCCAGGCGCGGGAGTGAGAACGGGCTGGCGCGTGCAATGGGGGAGAAGAAGAGGCGCGCAAGAGGGTGTTTCGCGCGACAGAGAGAGAGACATTCGCGGCTGTCCTCGGCGGTGGGGGAGCTCGGATATGGCAGCTAGGCAGTCCGCTGTTTGCCTTGCTGGGGCACGGGCCGTTCCTCGAGCAAATCTTGTCGGTTGTATCGCTGCTTGTCGCGCTGTATTCACGACAAACTCGCAATATAATACCTTTTGTGGGATACACGGTAACGGAAAAAGTTACGAGGGTGGCTCGCGGTGACACGCGGATTTTTGGTAACCGCGTACTATCTGTGTCGGGGGTTGCATTCCCCGGGAACGGCATGCTCAACAACATCTCCGCCGGCGGTTCGGTACACGGTATTTCCGGTAAGTAAGGAGGAGAAGGTGCGACAATCTTTTGGCTCCTCGATGGATCCCGTGTGTTTTATTTGTCAAAATATTTTGAAGGGATTTTACGTGGCGTCTTCGAGGGTGGTTGTAGGGGGTTCGTGATGTTTCACAATTTTCCACGATGGCCCTTTGGATGATGTTTGGAAGGTTTGTTGCGATTAATTTTGTTGCTCGTTTATTCTGTGGTTGGTTGATTTTGTGAAAAGTGGAGAAGAACGTTTTTTTGTGCTGTGCAAGCGGTTGTTACTGGTAAATGGCTTGGTAATCTTTTCATATTTTTGGCTCTTGGGTAAAGGTATCATGATATTTCCGTTTTTGTATTCTTTTTTTGTAGTGATTAATCGTAGGATTACGTTTAAATTTTATTATAAAAAATGGAGAATCGTAGGTTTATTGGCAAATTCTTTTCACTCACGTAGATACCGTTGATACGAAAAAAAGGTTTTTTTTTATTTTATTTGAATATTTAAAATTTGAATATTTATTCTAATATTTAAAATTAACTGAATATCGTTAAAATATATATAGTATCTTTATTTTATTAAAACATTAAGCGGTTATTAAAGTATTATTTTAGAGTTTTGTCGCAAATAATGTTTGAATTTTTGTGTCTTTTCTTATTATTGTAATAATTTAATTTCTATTATTTACTGAGTTGTAACTCGTTCACAAAAATTTCAATATAATTTATAAAATATTCTTTTATAAAAATAACTCTTTTAAAACATATTACACATTTCATGTTAAGAAATCGTTGATATTAAAGTTTTATAACTGTCTGTTATTTTTTTCTTGCATAAAAATTATTTTTTATTAATATTTAAAGAGTAAAATTAGTTAAAAACATGAAAATGTCAAAGTTAATATGGTCATTTACGTTTAAAAGGTTGTTAATTATGAAAGAACTATTCATATGATACTAACTAAAAATCTGTTAAAAAAATAAACATTTCTCTGCTTCTGATAGCGAGTATCCTGAAACGCGCAATTGTTTTCACAGTTAAGCAATTATACTTTTGAATTATATTTTATTCGTTACTTTCTTTCGCTATAGACTATAAAATACTTATAAACTTTATGGACGATAACGTATTCATTTCATTTTTTTATCTCGAAATTTCATGGTACGCTCGACAAAACTCTGTCCGTCGGACATGTTTCTTTACTTGTATATTTGCCTACTACGCATTTATTTTGATCTTATAAAATTTATTCTTATTCGAATATTTTAAAAACAATAAATAATTGATTAATAATTGATTAATCGCTACAAAATTTTTTCTATTTATTTTATTTTAAATTAAAAATAAAATAAATAGAAATTATGTAATGCATTCAAACAATTCTATTCAGACACAAATTTCTTAAATATAAAATAAAAATTCTAAAATACAAATAAAATAAAAAAAAAAATCAATATCGTTCTAAAATATAAGTGAAAAACACTCTTCGATATTCCATTCCGTATTCAATCGTTTCAACATCAGTCAATGTCTATAGGTATATTTTTTTTTTATAAAAAACCTTCGAAATTTAAAAAAAAACAAATCTAAAAACATATAGGAAATATTTCCAAAATAGAAAGCCATTCCCATTCATCCCCATCAATGGAATCATCTCGGAAATTTTATGTCGCGCTCAGTTTTCCCTGTCAAAAGTCACGGGTACGCAAGCAAAATAGAAAGGAAAAGTTGGTCGAACGATAAAAAGAAAAACTTTGGCCCGATAACACGTGGCGGACGCTTGTTCCCGCCCAAGGAAACCGCTTCTCGAGTTTGATGACCTTAATTACTTCAACGCTGATTACATTAGGCGAGAAGTTAAGGAACGATTTAGAGTTGGGACTAGTAGTAGAAACCGAGCAAAAGCGCGACGTGTCAGTTTAATTAAAGAACAATTAACCGTCGATTTTTGTCGCTATGCACAATTCTCTTTCATCCAGAATTTATTCTTTGACTTTTTTTTTTTTCCAATGCAAACATCGATCCCTCTTAACAATCTCGTTACAATTTGCAAAAATATTTTTCTTACATTCCTTCTCGAAGATCACGAACACGGTTTCGATATATAATTTTGCGAATTAATTTGCGACGAAGGAAAAGTGACGATTCTAACTTCATTAAAATCGTTAATTTAATTTGACAATAATTTGATACAATATCAAAGCATTGAGACAATGCACCGGTATACGACTCTTGACCTTTGAACGTATATGTATGTCGACCCGTTTCCGGAATTCGATAATTATGAATTTATTAATCAGACGTTTGCAATCCGATTACTATCGATCACGAATTTTTTAAAAGATCATCGATACGTATATAGAGATGTCGATCATTCTTGTCAACAACGCGATACCGAGTTCAACGCCTTTTTGCCAATAAAAGAAGAAATAAGAGAGGGAGAGAGAGAGGGGAAAAGAGCAAAATATAAAAAGAAAATAACCACAAGTGGATTCGTCGTCTTAAGGACAATCCTTTTAATTCGATTAAATAATCCGATAATCCGAACAGGTGGGATAGGATTAAACAATGATTCTTGGCGTTAATGAGAGGCAAACGGTTGCGAAGCAAACAAAAGGTTAGTAGCACTAATCCTCGAGCGGTGCGTTCGCACTAATCATACCTTGTTTGCCAATTTTTATCAAAACACGGCGAGCAATTAAGCGAATTGAATTTGCTAGCTCTCGTATTAATTTAATATTTATTTGTCCATCTTTGTTTCTCGTTTTAATACCCTTTTAAATTTAAAAGGATCGAAACTCGCGTTTATGATACTACATGTCAAAGGACGAACAGTTTCCGACTTTTGCGATACATACTGTGCCGTTCTTTATATAAAATACGCTTTTTTTTTTTTTTTTTTTTTTT